TTACTTCAAAAAGCAGTAGCTGACAATGTATTATGTAAGAAACTGCAAAGCATTAATACTTCAAAGGGGTGGTAATACCTATTAGGGTCCAAGCTATGTGCAAATAGTTAAGCTCCAAACTGGGATCAAAACACTATGAAAGTATTAAAAAATTTTATAGCAAAAATACCAGCAATAAATTTTCATAGTAAAAAGATTACACAATACATTTCTGTACATATTACAGCAATACATTTTTTTATAAAAAAAAAAAAAAAAAAAAACATTACCGGCTATACATTTTTTATAAAAGAAATTACTGATTCTCCAAAGAAAATTAAATGTTGTCATTAAATGACCCAATGGGTTGATATAACATAAAACAAATCAAACCAATACTACAAATATAATAATTTTTTTTTTTTTGCCTTAAAAATAACAGACTCTACTCAGAACAGTTAGAAAGTATAACATTTATGTACTTCAGTTTCATATTTAAAAAAAAGCCTTTCAATAGATAAATCAAGAGACTCCTGAAATCTGGAACAATACTAACCAAAGTATTGATGTTTTATTAAGTAAAATGGTAAAAGTTAAGAACTAACAGTGTTGGTACAAGTAGTCAGACAATTTTCCATTGGCTAATTAATAACTGAATTTATCAAATTATTTAATCAAACTTATGACTCAAAACTCATTCCATATATATATATATGCTACAGTTGATGTTTGAGAAAATCTTTCACAATAATGCCAATACACATTTTTTCATTTGTTTCCTATTAAACTCATGTGTGCAATATCACAAATAGGCTTTGTAAGTTAAAAGAATTTGACATTGTAGATTTGGCAGCAGTTAAAGTAGATTATTACTCTTTATCTGTTTTTTAAAGTCTATAACCAGAATTCAGTTTTATGTGCCATCTTCAGAAGATTGGCTCTCCACAACTTCCTATCCCTTGTGGTTCTTAGCAATGTTTGTCTTTTTATTATCCCTCCAATTCCCTGTTTTACTGTCCATTTACACAAGATTTGGTAGGTTACTCAGTTCCCTACCATCCCTCTTGACTTCAATATATCCTGTGAGTGTCAAGTTTTCCAAGCCTTCTTTACTCATTATGTGTTCTAGAAATTTCAACTATTTCTTTCTGATTCTAAGTATAAGTGTCCATTTTGTTTTCATTTTCCTTAAAACTTTCTCATTGTTCACATGCTCCATTCATGATACTCTCAATATTTTTCTGTAATATGGCATTCCTTTTCAGCTGTAATGAGATTATCCACCATTCACTGCCATATAGAAGGAATGATATTACATAGCAGTCCAGTACTCTTTTCTTTGTTTCTAATGAATTTTTCCTGTTTATTAATACTTTGCTTAGCTGTTGAAAGACATCTTTTGCTATTTCAATGCACCTTTGGATTTTGGTGTCACATTTTCAGTCACTAGATATTTAAACGTTTATACTTGCTTGATTTTGACATCTCCAATTTGTAGTTTTGCATCTTGGGTTGTTCCTTTTGCTCACAACCATACATTCTGTCTTCTTACATTTGATGGTTTTAAACTAGTGTGTTGCTTTTCAATGCATAAAGCATTCTCTTTTTCTTCATATCAAAGAGTAAATATCAGATACACCTTTCATATTTTGCATACATAAACTTGAAATATGCCTGCATAAAGTGGTATTGTGATGATGCTTACAGATTTCCTTTTATGAAAATTTAAAATGTATTCCAATAAATGAAAAATCTTTTTTAATTGCAAGAAAATAGCATAAAGTTTGTGAAAAATTAAATTTACTTTAAGTTATTAAAGTAAATTTTAAACTGTTTTAATGTCAATCTTTGTCATCCAAAATTATCTTCAATTATGCCAATAGAAATATTTTAACTAATTAAAATTCTTCAAAAATAATGTAGCCATGATTTGATAAAAATTAGTTAATTTAATGATTACATAAGAGTTTTTCAAATTATCAATTATTTTTTTAATACATTGTATAAAATACATTTATTTACAAATCCTAACAACTCAGTTCAAATGTCAAGTCATCATTTTTTATCCTTATGTGATGATAGACTGTTTAAATTTACTTAGAAGCATCTCCTGTGAAAATCTGATATTACCCACAATAGTAAAATCATATTTCCAACATTAAAACAGTCATATGACAGGTAGTACATCTAGTAAAAGAATAATGTCTATAAGCGACATTACTGGAGAACTGAACTAAATCGGTTATTTTTAGTAAAACAATTTTTCATTTAACATGCATATGCACACAGACACACACCATCTAAAAAACAAATGTGTTGTTTACTGTCAGTAAACAACAATGAGGAAAGAAAATTCAAGAACAACTTTCTGGTTTTCATATACCCTATCAATTTATTTTAAACATTTATACTGAAATAGTTATCATACTGATGAACACTAATCAAATAAAAATAGTTAAAAGCTCTTATAGAAATGAAAATTAAAGATCTCTTATTAGGAGCAATGTTGGGGGTCATATAGCTCATTGTTAAATGACATTGTTTTATTTACACTCAGACAACTGTCCTTATCTTTGTTATCACATTTCATTGACAAGCACTTTATGAAGGCTAAAATATTGTGATATTAACAAAAAAAAAAGATAAGGACAATAGTCTGATTGTAAATAATGATGAATCCATATCTCACAAATGCTATTTTTTGTTTTAACTTTTCATTCATATTTCTTGTCTTAATTTCAGTTGATTTTTATCATAATTCCTAGATTTTCATTCCCTGATTGTTGGCAATATTTTCTTTCTTGAGTTATTTTTAAGCTATCCTTTTTTTTCTTTTTTGCTTTTCCCAGCAATTTCAGACAAATAAAAACTTCTTCAGCAAAAGTCTACAAGAATCGTGAGAGAGAAGGGCAAACAGAAATAATCAATATTTTTCTGTCTGCATTTATACAGGAGAAAACTGAAATTGTCCAATAAGCAACAGCTTATAAAATCATATCATGTATAGATATTTAGCTTAGTCTGGCATAAGGCCACAGGTAGGGGGTATTCAGTGAGAATCGACGTCATTAAAGTAATAATTGTCTGCAACACTAGTTTGCTAACTACTGCTCTATGGAGAATTGCATTGATCTGGTAGATTAAAAAGCAGTATCAAAAAGTAGATTTATATCTCCACCTGTAGCAGATTTCAAAACTAATGGGATTTAAGAATTTTAATGATTGTACATTTTTATGAACCCACATATCCCAAAAAATGACTCAGGTTGCTGGAGGATGGGTGTTTTTATCAAGTCCCCCAATGTAGATGGTCAAACGAGATTGAAGAGCTCCCATTTGTCCATTAGTGCACCAAGTGATTTCAAATTCATAGTCTTCATTTTCATAGGCTGATTGCCATCTAAAGCCCAGTCTGTTCTGCTATTTAATCCATAGATGAGAGGGGAAGAAGAGAAAGTCATAACTTTCCTAAGTGTATTTGTGCAAAAAAAGTGAATGCAACAAATTTAACATTAAACATTATTCTTGTGAGCATTTATTTATATCAGTAAATATTGAAATTACTGAATGATAATATTTATTTTAGCAGTAATAAGACTTGTATGGATATGAGCAAATCCATGCGAGTGATTGTGAAACTGATTTAAACAAAATTGTCTGCCGTTACTTCGTTTTAATTTACCATAAAAAAGTAAGTTTTTTGATATTTTAAGTAAACTGAAATTACACAATCCATTACACAGAGATGAACAAACCCCCTCAACAAGTTGTTGACTCTTCTGATGATATAGAAAAAAATGTTACACACACATATATATATATATATATATATATATATATATATATATATATATATACACACATATACATACATACATATAACACACACAGTGTATGTTGATTAGTGTGTACTGTGTATGCATGCATAGGCATGATTGGGATAAATTTAGACATGTATGGTCATATTGAGGCTATAGTCTCAATTGATTACACACCACATATTTTATTGACAAAAAAAAAAACAATTGAAATAGTCATGAATGTTCATGGATACAATTTGTTGGCATTTTCATTGATAAGTTGTCACCATGAACTTAAATCCAATGCATGAAAAAAAAGCATCATAAGATGTTTGTACTGTTTAGAAAGAGCATCGTCTAGAGAGGAAAGGGACTCTTTTTGAGTCAAAGTGTAATAATAATGTTTACATTATTTCACTAATAACACACGAAAAAAGTAACATTTCCTTCTGTAAAAAATAGCATCAAATAAATTCAACATTCGAAAGCTTAATTAGTTCAATGAGAAAAAGAAGTTTTTATAATTATTATACTACACTACAGTACACTGTTGCTGTTCAAGTTCACAGGTCTGAACAAAAAGATTCATACAAGAAGCGGAAGCCCCAATAATAATATTTTCCATAAAAAGTGCAACAGAAAAATTGCTTATTGCTGTGGTAACTAACCATCCATATAACAAAATGAAAATTATTAATACACTCTTCTTTCACACACGAAAGCCTAAATTCAAAACCAGCTTTCAGGCTGGCAGTCGTGTGTGCGGTTTTTAGACCATGAAATTGAAATACGAAATGCCTGCACTTCAAGTTAGACCTTTAAAAAATTGTCTGAGTAGTAATAGTAGTCGTAGTAATAGCATTGGCAACTTCGGTAATGGCATTGGTAAACAAGATGTCTTGTAAACTGCTGCTACAGTGTAGGAAGTGCCAGTGTCTTGACTGGGATAATGGGAAAACACTCCTTTTTTTATTTCAAGACAACTAAATAAATACATCTCTTGTTTGAAGAGATCGTCGTCAACAGGAAAAAAATATTTGTGATTATTAAAATGGAATTGTCCAAGAGGATTCAAAGGATGAAGTGTTGTTGTTTACGTAAAAAATAATCCCAAAAGCAACAGATGTGGGAGTGATCAAAGGAGAATTTAGTAAAATTTAGAAAAGGTAGTAAGAAAAGAGACATAAAGTGGAAGACCTACGTTAATGGGGCGAGTGAATCTTAAAAGGGTACACGATATTTGAGAACGATGTGCAAGGTTGGAGGGTTACAATAATAAAAGGATGACAAAGAGAGGTTACGATAAGAAGAGAAGAGACATTCCAGGCAGCGAAAGGGCGTGAGAGGGGGGCCAAACGGACAGTTATCGGCTACAAAGAAATCGAAGGGACAGAGGCGCAAGATGGGCAGTTCTCGAAAGGGTGGAGACAAAAGAAAGATAGTAATTCCCAGCTGAGAAAAAAAAAATTCAAAATAGCACACGACTGAGAAGAGTGCAGTTGAAAACGCATTTTGTGGGAAAAGGAAATTGCAAAATTGTTTTGTTTTTTCTTTTTAATGATAGCAAAAAAAAAAAAAACAGTCAAAAAAAAAAAAAGAAAAGAAAAAACAGACACGTTGTAAATATTTTAGGGCAAGATGACTTCTCTCGTTTCTCAGCAAGTCAACACTTAACAACAGGTCATGATCACGACGCCAAGTAAAAAAGAAAAAGAGAGAAAGAAACTCTATGGAGAAAGCAGACGGGTTCTGTTTAGTTTGGTATGTAGGTCAATTGATCGGGAAACGCAATCAGTCACAAAAAACTGACCAAAGTAGATGTGACCAGCCCCTCAAAGCTTAGTTTAGGTAGGCAGTCAGCTGTCGCCTTTTTAGGTGTGTGATTAAGCGGTTCACGAATTTGAGGGAGGACAAAAAGCTGTGTTTTTTTTCACATTATAAGGGCGGGGTCCCTCTCTACACTGCACAAACTTGTCTAGCAATTCAAGCCTCACTCTTGAAAACTTAAAGGATAATTTTCTGCATATTTTCAATGGCGTTCCTTGGAAGTGACGAATAGTATTATTAGTTGCGTTTTGTTTTTGTAAATAATACCATAGTTTATAATGACTACTTGTAGTAATTTAATAGTACTTTATTTTATTTTTAAGTAGTAAAATAAGGAAATGTCATTATCATTAGACAGCGACAATAAAAAGGAAATTAAATAAATAAAAAAAAAACGCGTGGTTACGAAATAAAGTGGAAAGTGGTCTGGTATATATTTGAGGTGGCTTGACCCGGAAAAAATAACGAGGGGGGCGATATTCTGATTTCCTTCACTCACTGCAGACATTCGATATCAAAAGTTTATTTATTTATTATTATTATGTGTAGTTGTAGTAGATTTTTATTCTTTGTTTTGTGTACAAACACCACAAAAATAAACATAGGCGAGAAAGATAGATCTTAGTATTTAAAAAGTACATTTGCGATTTTTTTATATAATTAAGTATTATTATCAAACTCTCTAAGAAGAGTGTGCGTGTACCAAGTTAGAATCGTGAGAGTCTTCTTGTGTTCTATTATATTTATAATTATTCAATTTTTTTGTCTTATAAATCAATGAACTGGGTATCTCATCATACTTCTGACCTTGTGCCAACCAAAACTAAGCTAAGTAAAATAATTTGTACATAATTCTGTCAGAGATTGTTTTGTTGAGTGGTCAACGGTCTGGCCACATTTTTATTTTAAAAATCTTTTTCTTTTTTTTTTCTTTTTATTCATCACTCGCAGTTACATAAAATCGGAATTAGGAGGGTTTTTTTTCTCTTCCCCCAATAAAGAATTTAATTTGTGGCAAGTCAAACTCGGCAGAATGAATGCGATGTTATGGTAAAAAAAATGTGACAGTTATTATTATTATTGAAGAATATGATCATTACTTTCCTCATTTCCGCACCAGTGTCTTTTTCTTAGGAAAAAAAATATTAATTTAATAATCAGAACCAGATTTTGTTCGAGACCCAGTACACTGGTGGTACACGTGTTCACCTGGGTTTCTTAGCTACAGTAACAATCGGATACCTGGCCACCTCGCGAAACTAATTTCTTCTTTCTGGGCGCCTCATCGGTGAGACGTGATTTGCAAGCCTGTTTATTAAAGTTCGATTACTAAATGCCTCGTAATTTTGGCCTTGTGCCAAACCAAGCCAAGCCAAAAATCCATATTTCTTTGTAGATAAAAAATAAATGGTTATTTTTGTTTGGTAAATTAATCATCTCTTAACGTTCATTTTCTTGCAATTGTTATTTCGTAAAAAACACGGTGTACGTAACTTAGTTTGGGCTGTTGGCAACAAATATTGGGCACACAGTGAGGACTAAACTCACTACCGATCTACAAATCCAGCGTGCTGACTATTACAGACACTTACGATGAGGCGCCTAAGTAAAGTAAAGGGATTTCACTTTGCTAGGCATTAGTAACTAAAACTATTTTCATTTGTGTGTGTGTGTATGAAAATGAAAAATCTGTCACGCTTCACTTAAATGTAAAAATCTCCCCTTCAAAAAAAAAAGACAAAAGAAATTTGATACCAAGAGAAATAGAATCTTTAATATGCCACATTTTTGTTGAAGTCACGTCTTTAAAATAAATGATAAATAAAATATAACATTTTTAGAATTCTTGTCGATGTTGGGTAACTTAGGCTAAGAGTAAGAAGTGTAAATGTAAAAAACTGAAAAAAAGTGTTAGGAATTAGGCTAAAAAATATGAAAAAGATAGGATAAAAAAATACAATTTCCCTATTCTACCTGAAGATATTTAAGAAGAACCTACATTAATAATGCAAATAAGAAAAATAAATTTTAAACTTTTTTAAAATGCACGTTTTCTTAAATTCTTCATTACAAGTAAAACTTTTAAAATCTGGTGCTAATCAACGAATTTAGTAATTGACAGAACAACTAATTTAGATTTAAGCAGGAAATGAAAAAGAATGATTATTAATTGTAAAAAAATGACATTGCAGTGGATTTTTATTTTTTATTAATGTTTTTTTTTTTTTTATTTCTTACGTTTTTTAAGCAAACTGTGTTTTAAAATTTCATCCCTAAGATCACAAATTATTTTTTAGATAAGAGAGAATTTTGTTTTTTGTATTTTTTTTTAAATTTCCTGAAATTTAGTTTTTAATTTACTACAATTTTATTTCGTTATTTGCGCTCAGTATCGGGAGGGAAATTTATTTAACGTTAACGCCCTTTTCTAGAGCAGCCGACGAAGCAAGAAAATACTGACGCAGAAAATTGTTTTTTGTTTTGTTTTTTTTTACAGGAAAAAATCATAAGTAAAATGTATTTGTTTTGATTTAAATTTTAATTTAAACTCCAGCAACAAGCAATTTTTTAATTCATCAATACAACAAATCAGTTTTTAAGTTAGCGATTTCCAATCCAGGAAACCTTCATTAATAAATAAATAATAATTGGCATGATTTTACGAAGAAAATTAAAGAAATAAGAATTGCATAAAATTAAAACAGCATTTATGCGACAAGATGGAAATGGTTGCGCATCATCGTATGAAAATAAATACAAAAATACAAGACTGACTTGACGAGAGTATTTCATAGTGTGGTGCTAATTCAAAAAAAAAAAATCTTCTAATGCATTTTAGACTGTTTGCAGTAACGAGCTTCTATTCTTGCATTAATGAGCAAAACTTCGAGCTTCACATCGTCAGTCCTCTGCTCTACCACTGAGCCATTTATTAGCGTATTCTTAGGTCTTTTTTGTAACAGAAACAATAATGCACAATATGTTAAGGAAAGCTACAAAACAAACGAAGCGTTGGACAATTTCCCCTGCAATTAGTTAAGAAGAGAGTGTTGTCTGCAACAAGTAATAATCAATCATTGCATAGAAGAAATTAATGAATTAAAAAATTACAGTCGTGACACAGCGTTTCGGTTGTTTCTCGATAAATGAATAAAAAGAAAAAGGGATGTTTTTTTCTTGTCACTTGTGTTGTGTGTCAAACTCAAGACATGGTGTCTTTTTTTTTTTAACTGCAGTTGATGGAAGGAAGAAACCAGAAAGGAAGAATGAATACCAAAAACTATCATTCATTTAAAACGAATTCGCTCAAACCCCGCAAAAAAGTATCGCAAGTTCGCAACTGATTACTTTCTTTCGACAATAAAGAGATTATGATTTAATGCTTAACAAACAAAGACAAAAAAAAGATCAACAATTAACTTTAACAAACAAATAAGTTCAAATTAAAAAAATACCAACCTTCTGCTGACAAAAACAAGGAACCAAAAAATTGATATAGTTGGAGTGTTGTATCCGAGAGAAAGTGTCCGAGGTAAGGGAGAAAGAACTTAAAAGTTAAAGAGGAAGGAACAAGCAGTATTTTTCTTCTTTAGTCAGTCAGTCCCGAGACCTGGTTAGGGTAAAGGGCGGAGAAAGAAATATAAATAAATCTCTCTAACAACTTGGTGATGACCAAAACGTTGATGGGTTGTGTCGAACCTAGATGACAAAAAATGCACGCATGCACCACACAGCGGAGAAACAGTGATGGGGACGGAAAAAAGTCTACTGCTTAGCTTCTTCCTTTAAGAAAAAAGACACCAATTCTTTTTTCTATGTAAAACTAGTGGCTACCAACCTACAAAAAACGTGCTTTCTCAGCTACTGCAGCTAGTTTACGGAAATAGACGGAAAGTGCCGACCATTCACTTGACTTGCTGGCTAAACGATTTCGATTTTGCTGAGAACGAGATGAATCAGTGTGTTCGTTATTTATTTTTCCTGTGGCAGACTAATATACTAAACATTTCTGCCTTTTTTTCTTTGTAAGTCTTTGCTCTTATGGTTCGTTTAGAAATGTTTCTTTTTAAACGCTCAGGTTGGGTTCAAGCCTAAACTAAAGTTTTTGTCTCAACCTTGATATTTCAGTCAGTTCGTGCCTCACGTAACCGTATGTGTTATTTTCGATACCCTAAGTAACTGATAAAATATTTACCATTACTATTCGTCCATTATTTTAAATCTGCCTGCTTTGTTTAAAAAGATTGTTTTCATCGGTCAGATCTTTGATAAAAATGAATTGTGTTTATCTTGATTTCTCATTACATTTAAATATTTATAAAGCATATTTTCTGGAGTACTGATCTCACTTGTTTTGGAGGTTTTTAAATTTATCGATCAAATATCGTTCTCTACAAAGCAACGGAAATTGATTTTGAAATGTTGCCACGTTGACTAAAATGGTCCACTTTTTCCCTGACTTAGATGATGAAAAAAAGGCACTGTCTGATACCAATTTTCTTGATGTCCTATAATTAAGTTGTTCAAATTTTTTTAGATGAAGCCTTGTCATTGAAAATTTTTGAATTTGAATGATGTTTGCTAGTTGTCTTTTGCTCATGCTAGACAGGCTTTCAAGGATAAAG